GTGGTTATAAATCATGCTGGGTCTGAGTTTCATGGATTCCCGGCAAATCGAACAGAGAATCTTGCACAGCAACAAGTGCTTTGCACCGTAGCCCAGCGACAGCAGGCGATGCGTCATTGTCAGCAACGCGAAAGGAGGTCGGTGTCCGGGTCCGCCGCGATGCAATTGGGATGTTTGTGCATCGTGCAGGAAACACGCGCATGGCATGCATAGCCTGCTTGTTCCAGAGCTGCAGTTATCTTGAGTCTCCATTAGCCCGAAGAAATTGGCCGCCGGTGTTAAGCACGTAGTTCCTGGCGAGTGGACCGCAGCAGAGACGTCCGACTCACTCCAGGAGCTTGTGACGATGCATGGGTGCAAGATCTTCGTGTGGGATACGCCTTCCTGGATGCAGACACCTTCGTGCCAGCGTTTCGGACCATCCATACTGCGAAAGGTTTGGATTCAATAGTATGTCACGGGGAGCCAAGCACCCGAGTCTCAAGTATTGCATCTGTGTATCGGCCCGAAGCATGCAAGAACAGATACTACTAAAATGGTTCCCCAAAGGCTCGAAGGGCCAAGCTGGGGACTGGGGTGGGGGAGCACCAAACAGATGCAGCAAGGACTTTTGCATTTCCAGAGACGTAAATTCTACACACCTACGAACTTTAAGCGCCCAAGAGCTGTCCAAGGCCTGGCCGAGCGCAGTGCCAGCGATGGCCGAGAAGACCGCCAAAGGTTCCTTCACGGCATAGCACAACCCTGTCAATGAGGACACAAAGGCCAACACACTTGTACAGACTGCTACTGCTACTGCTACTGCTACTACTACTACTACTACTACTACAGCAACAGCAACTACTACTACTACTACTACTACTTCTTCTTCTTCTTCTACTTCTTCTACTTCTACTTTTACTGGTATTACCACTACCTGCCCCTGCCCCCACGGTGGCTCGTTCGTCAGGCCATGTTTCGATTTTCGGATGTTGAGGGCTGCGCATTTATAAATCATGCAACCATTCGGAGAGTGCAATCACGAGTTGCATGTTTCGTAGTCGATTGCCACTCAGCCGAGGTTTCTTCCACAAACGCTCCATGTTTGTCGGAGGCATCATGGAGAAGAAAGAGCGATGCATTGACTGCACCCGTCCCGTTTGGGATGGCCATGCCTCAATGACACTTCGATGAATCCAATGATTTCCGAGACCGGTGTTTGGCGTGTTGTCATTTTCAACAGCGGAGCGTCGGGAAATAGAAGCAATGCACACGAATTCCAGAGAAAGGATTAAGCACGAATTCCGTTGATCTAGCTCTCTGTGCAACAGTTCAGTGTCTAATCTTGTAAAGACTGAGCGTGAACGCCTAAAATGTAGACAATGCGTGATGACTGAAGCATACAATATCGACAAAGGTGTGAATGGAGGAGAGAGACAAATGATGAATTGAAACAGTGCTGCACCATACATACTGTTGTAGGAGTCAACTGGGGGTTAACACGCTCAACTTGCCATCCTTCTGTGCAAGGAAATGTTCGAAGTGCCGAACGCCGAGTGGAGCAGCTGCCCGGCTGCAGCCGACCAAACCCACCAAAGCTTCAGGCTGTCAATTGTCAGCGTAGAGTCTGTAGTTCCCAGGAGTCCTTCCCAAAGTTTCAGTGCCAAGGGCTCCAAGCTTCACATCGATGCGGAGGCAGCAAAGAGAGTGATCCCTGGCTATCTGGAACAACTACCGTGAAGAATCGGTGATGAGGAATGATGCTCTGCGAGACTAGGCATGCGCGGTTACGGGTATGCGCATCCATCCCCCCATCCATCCATCCTTCCATCCGTGCATCCTTGCATCCATGCATCCTTGCATACATGCAGGATGCATATACTGTCTGGCTGACTGACTGACTCACTGGCCGACATACTTATTGACAGGCTGACTTACTGACTGACTTCCCGCAATTCTGACCTACTTGTTCGCTTACTTGCTTTCTTATACAGACACGCACACAGAGAGATGTATGTGTATGTATATATGTGTATGCAAACCAACACTATATCTAGACGAATCCAGACTAACACTTGATTGCAATTGTATACACACATGCGGTCATTGATCACATTCGAAAGCAGGATGGCGGCCCGAATCAAGGAATCCATATGAGTGCTGACACTGTTGATGAAGTACTCGCCGGGGAGGTTGCGTGTGTCCTGAGACCCCAAATCATGAGTGAATGCACTCGTGGGATCTTATCTATGTATATATATATATATATTCCTTCGCGTTGTAGCTTCACGACATCCACGCACATGTTTTTCGATAGGGGCATCGTCAGGCCGCCGGCGCGTACATGCACATGTAAATACCGTGTGACATGTCTCCGAGGATCCTCCACACCACAGGCGTGCCAGAGCCGAAACTTTCGCAGGACGCCCGCTCCGTAAGTCTGAGTCCGGCTAGGGTTCTTCACCGTTCAGGTTGGTCGGAGTATTTCGAGAGGGCTGAGAGTTACGTTGAGTTCGGCTTTTTAATGTTCACGTTGGACCTGTTTTTGCACTTGCAATATGTTTTCTCTTGCTCTCTTTGTGTTCACAGAGTAGTTCCGGGCACTTGTGAATATGGCTTGGATGTTATAATTATAGGTCGTTCCGGCATTTATTGTCGGTGGGTTTTATTAGTACTTGTAGCTGGGAGTCGTGAACTCCGCTGTCCGTTTGTACCTTGCTACAGTAAAAGACGGAGTAGCATCCTTTCCGACAGCAGCCGGGCAGCAGCAGAACGGCTCGACGTGCTGTTCCAAGCCACAGCCTCTGGAGCAACCTCCGAAGGCCTAAACCCGAAACACTTCAGCCAGAAAGCTTTCAGCTCCGATCTCCACCGAGCACAGGATGCTGCAGCAAGCAATCCCATCATCAGCAGCGACTCAGAGGCAAACCTGGGGAGAAGTCTACAAGTGTCATTCTGTGGCAAGGTAGAGAGAGGCTGATGTACTGTTCGTGACGACGACGATGACGACTAACACTCCCATCGCGACCTACTGGCGATTGTTAGCAGGAGCAGTTGCAGATGCAGCTGCAGTCAAGATCTAGGTTTTGCACACAGTAGGTAACTATTTAGCAATACTTGTAAGGCAAGTGTTGAAAGCCAGTTGCTAACCATTGATGGTATTCTCCTCTCGTCATTGTCGTCGTCCTCCTCCCTCCTCCTCTTCCTCCTGCTCCTGCTCGCTCCTGCTCCTGCTGCGGCTCCTGCTGCTTCTGCAGCATCACGGTTTGGGCTAGTGGCTCTAACGTTCGCAGTCGGGTTCAGTGTTTTTCGAAGGAGTTGAATTTACCAAGGGTGGCAGGACTCGGGATGCCGTTGCTCCTGCTTTTGAATGTTCATCCCGAATGCAGGATAGAAAAGACGGCGCCAGCAAGCCCATCAAGGCAGACAAGAAAGAGAAGAAGCTCAAAAAGCTCAAAAAAGTCAAGAAGGAGAAGAAAGATAAAAAGAAAAAGAAGAAGGACAAGGATGACACGAGCAGCTGATTGCAGTATATCATGGCTATAGACTGCCTGTTGGCTGGCACTGCGATCCTTGGGCAGTGGACAGGGCATCCGACGAGACCAGGATGAGCAAGACGCCATTGTTTCAGCCTGTCCACCGACGTGCAGATGGATGCAGAGGCCAGGTTGGAAACACCGTCGCTTTTCCTGTCTGGTTCTCGCAGCTGGCACGCATGCTTTTGAAATGCTGCAGCGGCTGCTGCACTCTAAGAAAGACCTGCGCCCTCTGAATCGATCCACAGTTTGCTTCGTGGCGTCTGCCGGCCTTGCGCAACACCTCACGAGCTTTAATGGGGAAAGCCAGGCAAACAAGGTCCCAGCCCTGGCGTGTTTGTATCAACGACGGGCTGTTAAAGACATTCATACATTCCAAGTTTGATAGGGTGTCGCATACATGCTCATCAGCACGCGTAAGCGTGGCTACCGGCAGTGCCAGTCAGGTGATCCGGGGAGGGATGCGCAAATGGCAGACGACGTGCAGAGCGAAACGGTTGAATAATTCGCAACACTGACAGCTTTAAGCTGTTTTGTCTTCGTCTGCGGAGCCGGCACTTGTACAGTGATGGTGGACAACCTGGCATCAGACTGATGTGTGCCCGGTTTGTTTTCCCAAGGGAGCGTCAAGTCTTACCCTGGCGTTCGGGCATCTGCAAACATTCCCTCTACATCCTCAGGCTCACGGAGATTCACGGAGATGTACATGAGTGACCTCACTCACAATTCTTGCAGAGTGAGAGTCTCAACGTCGCGTGGAAGTCACGTTTCTGAGCACTTTCGACTGCAGCTGTGCAGAAGCTGCGCTGGATGGCAGTGATGCTGAACTTGACCTCCTGGGTCACACGCAGGCGAGACAAGCTGGAGGGTTGACGGACCCGTGCAGAAGTTTGAAACCACCATGGCCGCCCTTGGCTGTGGGAGCTCATGATGTACAGTGTCCTGCATCGGGGAGCAGCTGAAACCCAAAGCTGGGACATGGGGGCCTCTGGAATGCAGGTCTGTTGCACCGGCATTTACCGCCGTCTGATTCAAGTCAAAAAAAAGTCTCGAGAGCTCCAAGATTTGCATCTGTCAGGGTACATGTTGCGGAAGAAACCTGAGATGTGCAACCATCAGCCTGTTATCCTCCACCTTGAGTCACCGCAGCGTCGCCGCAGCTGCATCCGGCCGAAGAAGCACTTAGCTTGGACGTTTTGTTTGTGACTCGTTGCCGACTGTTAGCCGCTCGCCTTCTCAGGAGGGTTGTGGATTCCTGAAGGTGGATGCTTAATTGTAAACTTATAGGGATGCTCTGGCTTTCTCGAAAGAACAAAGGCCGAAGCGACAGATTGTAGTAGGGCATTATCCACTTGAGGGTTTCTGGCTTCCCGGGCTTAAGTGTACGTAACGCAGGACAAGAAGGCCAGCCACTTGGCTCGCGGCTGCAGTCTAGCCGACTCGATAAAGTTCCGATAAAGTTAAGTCTCCTGCTCATGAGGCAACATGCCGTCCACTCGCCAACGCAACACTGCCGCGAGCTTAGACCATGTGCAGCCATGGCTCAAGAGCCTGTCAATCCCTCTGCCTCCCATACCTGCAGACCCTGAACTCCGCTTTCCTTTCCAGTTTGGGGCTTAAGCACCAGACCACTTCGCAAATCTCAACTTCTGATTTTGCGGCATTCATTCACTGCACCCACACCATGCCGGGACATGCCAAAACCACATATAAGACTTCAAACTCCAGGTCCTCGCTGCGGCGGCCACTGCCTCTGCTGGCGCCCTTACCTTCGTGCCTCGACGATCAGAGCTCCAGGGCTCCGGTCTGGGATGCGGGTTTCAGGGTGTCTCCAGTCCGAGTTTTCGAAAGCCTGTGTGGCGTGGGAGAGTTAGAACTTGGCGCCTTCCGACGTGCAGGCGCTACGGTGTGAATAGTTTGGCTTTGGGCAGGGCTGGGCATTTTGGGGATACAAGGCACCAGAAGTGTGTGGTTCTCTGAAATGGTACGTAGCGTTGCACGGCATGCAAGCTCTGTTGGTGCTCACTTTTGTCGCCTGAGAGCAATATGCGACTTCTGCGGTAATTTGATGGCCCTGCGAGTCGTCGTCGTAGTAGCGGCAGCAGCAGCAGGAGGAGGAGGAGGAGGAGCAGGAGAAGCAGTGGCAGCGGTAGTGGTAGTGGTAGTGGTAGTGGTAGTGGTGGTGGTAGTAGTAGTAGTAGTAGCAGCAGCAGCAGCAGTAGTAGTAGCAGCAGCAGCAGCAGTAAAGTCTGAGCAACACGAGCGCACGTAATCATATTATGCACCTGTAGTTGTCGGCCCTTGTCCTGTCCCACATCAGAACCGTATTCCTTTTCATTCTTCTTCGAAGTATGAAAGCCACCAGCCAGGTGGCCCCTCCTAGCACGCCCAGTGCCGCCAGAATCGAGCCAGGCGACGTGCGGCTCCGGGTTCAGGTTTTAACTGGGAGTTGCAGTTGATGGATCTTTCGGTTTGAGGGCTATGGGACGGACAATTCCCAGTTTGTTGGGTTTGGCTTCGTGCAACTGTAGCAAGAAGTTGCAGCCCGGGTTACCCACTTTGGTTTGGTTCAGGTTTCATTTGTTCATTTGTTCTGGATTCAGACTTTCGGCTGTATAGCTTGTATCAGGTGGATCCGCAGCTTCATAGTGAAATGCTATGCTTCCAGCTGCTGATTGGTTTTCCGGCCTTCATTGGGTCGCTGAAGGGACCCCGGCTTTTGGGCAAAGAACCATCACGGAACTCGTAGGCATCCCGACATCAGATCGACTTTCATGGGGACGTCTCGCACTGCCTGGGCCATTCACCAGCATAGCTCACAGAAGAGGATCCATATCTACCTGCATCGCCGAGATCACCGCAACCATGTTGTCAAGCCTCCGCTTACTAAAGGATCTCTGCCTTGACTAGAAACTGAGGCGTCGTGGGCGGCCATGCCGTTGCTGCGCAGCCTCAGACCTCCAGCATGGGCGCCGCCACTGTGGGCGCCGCAATGCTCGCGGCTGGCTGTGCCGCGCGCGTCACACCGAAGGGCAAGGCCAGCCTAGCGCCCAGTTGCAGACATGGCTGCCAATTCTGCTCGGAAGACACACATACACACATATGCACATGCACATGACGATTCGGTCAAGAGGATCAGCAGGCGAGATCGGAATGCCGCAACAGTGTTTTGTTTAGGTTCCGTATGATATGTCCGCTTTCCTCGAATGCAACAGAAGATAGTGCCATTGTGCACCAGTTGGCACATACTTCCCCCACTGTTCGTGAATGAGTTCAACTTGCAACTTACCTTGTGTCCTTGCTTAATATCCGTTCTTTGGGCGGGCTGTGGTGCAGTAGTACATGGCCCAGGAGTGACTTTCCGCACGTAATAGTCCTCGAATTCGCTTGTGGAGGAGCTTGTGCGGAGAGCACTGCAGAGGACATGTGCACTAGACAAATCTGGACGTGCAGTGTCAAATTACTACAGTGTTACTACAAGTTCCGTACGGAAACTATATTCATCCCCAACCGTGTGGTAACACCATGTCCTCCCCCCAATTAAGGTGGGAAGCATAAGCGCCATGGTCCCGAATCCCACCATCCCGCCAGTACTTGGTGAATGGCATTTTGACGGGATCCGCAAGTACTTGGGGGAAAGCCTTCTGGTCGCGTTTCCGGATTGAATCCTCCTGATTCCGGCCAACATCTGCGGGAAGCATTTTGGCCATGCTCCCATATCCGTCAGTGCTTGCGGAAAAGCAGTCTCCTCCTCTCTTGGTGGTTTCCTGTTGGTCTCTCGATGGTCTCTTGCTGGTCTACTCGTGGTTTCCTGGTCTCCTGGTGGTCTGCTTGTGGTTCCTGGTTGTAGCGGTCGTCCTGGTCGTGGTGGCCTATTAGACACAGTTGGCGTATCTACATACAGGTATATGTATACATGTTAATATGCGCATCTGCAAGCGCATCTTCGCATACATACAAGTCTATGTAGTTGTATTTGCGGCATGGTATGTTCGGAATGGTATGGTCTGGTATGGTCTGGTATGGGGTATGGTTGAAGGTGCTATGATATGGTATTGTATATAAATGCAGTTCATGGTAGACATGCTGTAACATAAACGTACTGGTGCTGCTTTGTAGCTGTCTATATTAATTGTGAGTTATGTATGTGTAAATACTATATACTTGTATATCTATATGTCTACATTTATACAGACATCTACGTCTGTATTTGTATATGTACCGATCCGATATCTGTATCTGTATCTATATGCTGTCTATATCTGTATTTGCATCTACACCTACACCTATTCGTCTATGTCAATATCCATGGCTATATCTGTATCTATAATTAAATCCATGATCTCTTCTACTTCTCTGCTCTACACATGGGCAGAAAGCAGGTCGCAGGACAACATGACCTCATCCAGAATCCGCTCGGAAACCCGAAACCCCAACAATACATCTCCAAGCGCCGACACGAGCGGAAGCCTACCATGAGTCTGCAGCTCGATCGATGACATGACTGAAGCATACTGCAGCCAAACCCCTCCGCCCGAGGGTGCCAGTAATTCCTTTGGTGCGCCCTGAACCCGTCAGGGCCAGCGCAAGGCCGTGAAAGTGGCAGCGGTCAGCACCGACACCGAGGTGCCCTGCTCTGTTCAAAAGCGTCACCAGTCTCTCCCTTGAAGAGGCGGTCACCTTGTAAGCTGCAAAGGTGGAGACTGACTGCATCAACTCCATCCGCTTCCTGGCTGTTGATGCTGTGAACAAGGCGCACTGCATGCCCGATCGGCCAACACTCGCAAGCTCTCCTCGAGACAAGTCGGAATCGAAAGCGATGTCCAAGCAAAGTCGACGGAAACATGGCATGCTGCCAGGGAGACTTCAGAGAGCGTTGGTTCAATTGAAGCAAAGGCAGTATGTATGGCATTTCAGGGAGGTTGCTGGAAGGTCGGCTGAATCCGTAGACCTTGGAGCCCGCCGGCCACAACGCCGAAGGATCTCGAAACCCACCTAATGTAGAGCAGGCTCCCCCCGTCCAAAATCGCTCAACGCATCCTTTAACTCGAGTCCCAATGAAGTTTCCATCTTGGAATGCTCACCTCCTGGAGAGTTAAAGCTTGTCTACTTCTGAATTCATTGAGGTCTGCACCGAAACAAATGCAGAGTGCTCAAGCATCTGCTGAGGCTGAGCATGCGGTTGCGAGCTCCCACTGCCCCCGCCCAGACCCGGAGAGATGACTGCCGCAAAAAGCTGGAAACTCTTGTCCAGAGTTGTCCCTAAACCCTAAACCCTCCATACGCCAGGCCAACTCGGGCCATCCCGGAGCACCCATGGGTCAGGCGCCGACTCCCGGAGTTGATAATTGTCGGTCTCTGGAGTTCATTCATGGAAATCTTCGTCTGTTTCTGATAGAGGCAAACATAGGCAAAAATAGGGGCCCACGATAAAGTACAGGAGTACTTACATTCCAGGGTGTTGCTCCATGTCCATGGTAGAACTTTGTAGCCTTCGAGCTGTTTCTGAACTTGCATTGCAGGCAGCTTTGGGAAACGTCATGTATAGAACAGCAGCCCAGGATCGGATACCTGCTCTTTGCAGAGGAGATGGCTTACAACCCCAAGGACAGAAGGGCCACCCATTGGTTTGGGGAGGTTCGAATCTAAGACTTGGCCCTCTGACTCGCCCTCCGATCACAAAACCTTTGAGGCTCGGTAGCAACAGATTTCAGCAGCTTGGACTGCAATCTGCTTGGTTCTGTTCGTGGGGTTTCCAACACCCGTGGCATCTACGGCAGCAGCACCGCGTGCCCATCCAATGTCGGGATGCACCTCGATCCGAGTTGTTTCTTTTCCGTATGATTGTGCCTGCGCGACTGGCTGCCTGCGGCTTGCACTGTCTGATGGCGGAGAAGCCGGAGTGTACGGGTTTCTGAAGAGGATTTACCCAGCGGGCATGCTGGAAGAGACTATGCGCATCGAACGAACAGAGCACACGACCGTGCGCTCTACGAGACTGCCTGTAACTTCACCTCGCAGGCAGCTGCACACTTTCATGTTCAGAAGGAGATGGAGGCCGTCAGGATGCAAAGCTGAGGTACAGTGCAGGTGCATCGAGCCGTTGTCAGCCTGCTACCTGTTAGGCACCAACACTCTTCACCCGCCGCAAGGGATACTGACTTGACTAGTCGGACCGGAGCGTGACAAGATTTTGTTGCCCTCGATCGGTGCAGGGAAAGACCTGACAGCTGTTACATCCTCATCACCAAGACTTGCATTTTCAGAGCTTCGGCGCGTGTTTCAGCTTGGGAGTAGTGTAGTGAGGCTAGTATCTTCGAACCGGCAAGAAAGAATGAATACAAAGCGTGGCATAATGGCGTAACATCGAGCAGGACCCGTCTTGGTGCAACCGCGATCGCTTCGTCCTGTCTTCCGGCCACGGCTGCATGCTGCAGCGCCTGCACCTGATTCAGAGCAACCGAATAAGCAAGGCTCTGAATCCCGTACGGTCTAGTACGGTGCCCATGCCACAGCCAAAACCCAGTCAAATATGTAGCACAAAGTATATAGTACATGAATATGCTTCATTTGCTGCACGGCGGCACACAAAAGGAGGCTCCACGTTCACTGGTTCCATTCCCGGTAGTATGGGCTTCTGGTTTCGGTGCCAAGGTACTCGCTTCTGCACCTGGCTGGCTATGACAGCGTGGCAATGGATGACCTTAAGCAGTTCAGGCTCGAAATAGCCAGCTCTAAAGCTGAGAGGCTCACAGGGTTGAGCGCTCGATGTGTTAAAGGATAAGCCCGAAGCTTTAAACTTTAGATTTTAGGCCGCACGATTGGGTCGTGAGGGATCCTGGCTGAGGAAGGGTCGAGGTTTCCCCATTTTCAGTACATCCGTGGGTTCGGTGCCTTTGGGGGTAGTTGCCCGGTTTGCGGGTACATCCCAAGCTTCTACGTTCGAAGACTGATCGTTGTGCAAAGGCCCCTGTCAAAACAGAACCTGCTTCGGTCAGAAAGAGGGCACAGCGTCAGTTGATGGGCTCGTATGCATACAGTAGCCCTTAAGGGAAGTCAGCTTCGGGTCTGAGGCCAGAGGCAACCTTACATTGTGACTCATGCCTGATTAAGTGTAATTTTTTTCAAAAAACAGACCAAGCAGGACGATCCTCTGCACAAGAGCCTTGGACCTAAGCAAAAGGCTAGTCAACCAATCTGGTGGCAGGCAGTGGGGCTCCAAGACCCCGGGCCATCCGGAGAACTTCGAGACATGGCTCTGTCTTGCTTGCGTTGTCTTGTTTGCCCGTTTGTGCCCGCGTCATGTGCAAGTCATCCAAGTCTAATTCCTAGGGAGGGTTGGACACAGGGAGGGAGGGAGTGAGGAGGCGAAAGAGGATGGGCAGAAGCGGTCGGGCATATCTTTGACACCTTGAGAGTTACAAACGCATCCTCAGCTAAGGAGACCGACGGCATCGAGGTCACAACTGGCCCGCTCGGCGGCTTGTCTGAGAAGGTTCATGTGCCATGCACAGCGCTCCGCCACCACCTTCGCCCAAAATGTAAGCGCTCTCTGTCGCCCCCGAATGGCCAGAGATCGTCGACGCAGAATGTGCGAGGCTTCGATGCTCAAGCCCCCAATTCTTCACCCAGACCCCACACCAATCCAGTCGAAACCCAGAATAAAGCTTAGAAAGAAGAGGCCCGGTGTGGGATTTTCGCACAGCAAATCTCACCGAAGCAACCTACCAAGAACATTTAAGTTTAAGACGACGTATCGAAAAAGGAGCACAAAGAAGTGTTCGGGTCTATGTCTTACATGTACCGATGCTTACACATTCAGTTATGTGCGTACGACCATGGCCGCCACAACAAGTTGTGCAAAGTGCTGTGAGCCTTTCCAGAGCTTAGCGCTGTAGTGTGACAGACAGTGTCCTAGACCATAGGCATCTTGTCTAAAGCATGGGCATTGGACGCACCCCGCGCGCACAGTCGAGCATGTGTAGTTGGCCTTCTTGACCTCCCTTGATCGTCCCGAATGGATCGAGACTCATACCAGCATCCCGAAGGGCGAGCATACAAACAAACTGAGGCTAACTTCAAGCCAAAGAGTTCCCAACAAGGCATGGGCATCTCCAACGCCGTTGGCTTGGCGGCCGCTGAGGCGCACTTGGCAGCGGCCTACAACAAGCGACTCGGTCGAGAGCTTCGAGTTGGGGATGATGGTGAGTGATAGGCTTGCTCGAAGTTGCTGTTTGTTGAGGTTCGGGGGTTCCCTTTGTTTTATTCAGCCTTTCTCCACCTTGGGCCTTTTTCTGCCATGCCTGGGCTGAGGCCGGACTTCACCCTGATTGACCACTATACCTACACCATCGCGGGTGATGGCTGCATGCAGGAGACCTCATCCAAGCTGGGATCCGTGGTCGATTCTCTTTACGCCACTGAATCACTTGCTGCAATGCTGGCTTGGGAACACGATGTAGTGATAGGTATCAACATTACAAGCAGACACTGTAGTACTGGTCATAGCTAGTCAGACAGCAGTCAAACAGGCAGCTTTGGAGGTGTCGGTTGGAATGAAGGGTTAGAGTCCTGGAAGAATTGTAAGCAGGCCCCGGCAACCTCAACTCTTTCAGCTGAAGTCTTGAACCCGAAACCCGGACTAACCTACCGCCTCGTTCCAGGAGGGCATTTCCCACGAGGCCTGCGCGTACGCCGGCCACCTTGGTCTTGGCAAGCTCATCGCCTTCTATGCCACTGGGCCTGGGATTTGGGAGGGCGGGAGTTTGCTTCCGCCTGTTAGCACTCCGCGTCGTTCTTCTCCATGTCATTATTCTTGTCGATGTTCTCTTCTTGTTAGTAGGCTCATTTATCTATATATGAGAAATGGTGCAGCATTGTTTTTTGCTGATGCTGCTGGCTTCCAGCTGTGGACCTCTCCAAAGTTTAGCACCATGGAGCATGCGCCGGCAAAGGCTTCAAGTTCCAGGTGACGGGTTTAAGCATCGGATGGTTAGCAGTATAAGGGATCCAGCGGTTTCGCTGCAGCTAGCAGCTCGACGGGTGGAAGAAATGGACATGACAGGGTCCCATGTAGAGCCTTTATCAAGCTCCCGGGAAGGAAAGGTATCTTACCTGGAATCCTGGCTTCGAAAAGTCTTGCAATCTGTGAGGATGACAACGGCATCACCATCGACGGCCACACCGATCTGTCCTTCACTGAGGATTCGACTGTCATGGCTAGTGCTAGTGTCATTCAGTGCAGAAAAGTCGCAAGCAGTCATAGTCATTCCAGAAAGAAGAATCAAAATATCAGGCTGTCAAGCCCTTTAGTGGTGTTCAGCTGACGATTACAACCGCTCTTCTTTCTTCATATGACCCAAACTCCAGTTCCCGTGACACCAGATTCCAACAACCAACGGAGTCCATGTTTGCTGCAAAACCCTCAACCCTAGAATCAACCTCCGAACTGAAATCCCAGCCCTGAAATTGAAATTCGGAATTCGGCAGAGTTTGGCAAGATCTTCAGGGCAAGGGCTTGCTGAGTCTGACGGATTCAGGGGCCTGGTTTTCTCCTGAGCCCCGCGAGAAGAGCCTTCGAGACAAGTCCACCTCTCCGTGACATAACCCCCGATGCCGGGACCGCACACGATTCTGAAGCTGGCTAAAGTCTGTCGCCATCGGATGCACTCGTCAATTGAAGCACTTGAGCTCCAGGATGTTGGCAAGCGCTTCGAGGCAAGTGGACCTCCTTCGGGCAGACCTTAAGCATTCCAGTTGGACGACTGTGAAACCCAGGTAGAAAGAGACAGCTTTCCACCAGAATGATGCTCGGGTTCTTTCTGTGGTTGAATTAGCATACCCCCAGGCTGAATCCTGCGACATAGCCATGGAATCTGGAGGATTTGGTTTGTGTTGGTTTGGGGTTCTGTTACTCAGGCCTGGAAACCACAAGGGTTAGGCTGCTGCTTAATTTGGGTCTTTCGCAACCCTATCGGGCTTAGCGTGTCTGCCTTGTACATCTGTGACAGGCAACTGTTCTGAGGTGTTTTCGCGGTGAGTCCCCTACAGAGGCACACCCATGCGCTCCCAGTCTCAGAAAACGGAAGGCCTTAAATCGGCGAGCATGCTGCGACATGAGCCATGGCAGTTTCGCAGCATACTCAGCAACCCCACACCGGCAAACAATCAGGATCACGCAACAGCTCCTGAGGACACCACGAACATCGTAGCCTGAACCCTGAACCTTGAGCCCTTAACATGAGATGGTAGGAGTGCCTGGGAGTTCAGATTGTTCGCGTTAGCTCTGCAAGCCGACAATCTTTCATCTGGCATCAGGATATCTTGGGCTGAGGGTCCCGAAACGGTTTCATAATAGGGCTTAATGGGAACTCTTGATTAATACCCCCCATGCCCGGGATGCCTTTAATCACGGGGAGTGTTTGTCAATCAAGAGTTGACATCAGGGTCGTAACACTTCAGTTGAGGGCTGGGATATTTGTTACAAGCATCGTCCCCGCAACGTTCTCCCGGAAGCGCGCAGCACGAAACTGCAAACCTGTAGAACTTGGCGTCCCCAGCCCGCCGACTGAAACAACCAGACCCCCCTCCTCGGAAGCCCCAAAAAGCATGAGAAAGCCGAGTTCGAAGCCAGCATCCTCGGCAGCAGGCGTATGGCTGGCAGGTTCTGGTTGTTGACAACGGCGATCAGGTTCGGCGCTGTGTGGTTTTGGAACTTCAGACTCCAACGGTGTCTCCAACCTGGCATCGGGGTTGGTTAAGAGGGCCTGCCGTAACCTGGCAAGCCTAGAGTCCTTCCTAGAGCCTGGATCGTTCGAAAGATCGCCTGGGTGTTCTCCCAGGATGTCGATGCCATCCGCAAGGCCATCGCCGAGGCCAAGGCCTGCACTGCATCCTGTTCGCACAGATCCCAAGTAACATTAGTAATACGGCTATTAGTACAAGCCCTCGTAGTATAAGCGGTAGCAGTAGCAGTCCATGCAGTCGTCGTCCTCCTCGTGGGTGCAGTGACAGTCGTAGAAATGACGTACATCATCGTAGTACTACTGTTAAAGTCCGACATGCCAGTCAACTTCTTTCAGAATGATCACTCCAAGCTACACACACCGAGGACTTCTATTCACCTCCAAACTACGTCTTATTCGCGTCGGCTGTTGCATTGCCATGAAGTCGGGCTGGGATTCGAAGCAAGCAAGCGAAATACAACTTTGGTGCTTGTTTTGACGGCTCTGGAAAGACGACCTTTCAATGAAGCAGTTGCCCTGCCCCACCGCAAGACATAGACGTGTAATCATCAACAAGCTCATGTAGCGTACGCACACATCCCGCGGGAACAGGCGTTTTGTCATGTCAGGTTCTTCAGGGAAACCTACGTCCGGTCATTCGATTGAGCGATGCCTTGTCTTCTCCAAGCATCCACCAAGGACAAGCCCACTCTCATCAAGGCGCCTGCAGCTTGTGAGTGGTTTTGAGGTACGTCATGAGGGATTCAGAATCCAGACTCTGCAAGCTTGAGTAACCTACCCATGTCTGGGTCGAGCCTGTCAGTTCACTTCTCAAGACCAATTCCCATAGCCCAAAACAACCCAGGCCTCCTTCCAATGCCCACATCTGCTTGGGACACTAAGGGTGTGAACCGCATTCACATTCTGTGGCTCCTGAGCAGGTGAAGACCACCATTGGCTTCGGCTCGCCCAACAAGGCACCATTCGATCTCATCTCCCCGGTTTGACCATGAGGCCCAAATGAAAATTGCTCGCCAGCTTAAGCACTTGCCTCAAGCTTTGTATGACTCTACTCGCAATCATACCGTATGGATCTCCCACACGCTCCATCATGATGTGGAAGTGGTGATACAGATGAATATGCTAAGCAGAGTTTTGGTATTTTGTGATTTGCTTTCGATCTGGGTCTGAGGTGTTAGGTGTATGTGTCTATATATACATATGTATATGTGTATATATATATATACACCAATACATATGTGTAGATATGTGTATGTATACACAAACATATTACACAAACAAAGAGTCTTTTCTTTTCGGAGCCCTTTGTGGAGTTGTCATCTGCGCCATAGCCGAGAGCAGAGGCAGTTGGCCCGATCTCTCGAAAGAATTCTTGTATGACTCGCTTGTAGACTGCAAAACCGTGCTGTATCTTCTGCTGCCTCGGAGAGTACGGGGAATCCAGAGAATGCCGCAAAGTCCTGCAGCTCTCAGCTACGCAGCCCAGCAAGCCCGAATCTGCGCGCTCCAACCCAGAACTGGAATCTCGACCTCGTCTCTGATTACCACCCTGTTAAGGGCCCGGATCCGTCACCCTGAGGCCGACAGCCACGATGCGCACGGAGCTCCCCTCGGTGCAGACGAGGCCGAAGCGACCCGCAAGTGCCTTGGCAACTTCAAGGCGGATCTAGGGTTCAGAGCTTAAGTCTCACTTTTTTGGTGGTTTTCTGTAAGTTGTCCTGTGGTGCTGCTGCTGCTGCTACAGCTACTGTTACTATTGCTGCTACTACTACTACTACTACTACTACTACCACTACTACACTACTGCTACTACTACTACTTTTGTCAAGGCAGTTGGGCTGGAACTACGGTGAGTTCGAGGCCCTGTCTGCATCTTGGAAGATTGATCCCAGCTGCCTAAACCGCAATGAAGCTCGGAGCAAAATGCCAAAGAAGCAACATGGAAGGTCACTCAAGTCCCCACAGCCCATGACAGGTCCCAGAGCATGTTTACGCGGCCTTCAAGAAGCAGGCGGATGCTGGCAGCGCCAAGCCGCTTTGATGTTTATAATGTGAACTTGAAGGCTCTTGAGAAGTTCTGAACGTGGAAGCACTGATCCTGCGCACTGGCAACCCTCAAGAACTGCGGCTCCGTCAAGATTCAAGCACACGCTTCCGCAGGCATCAGCATTGTGGATTCACGGTTTGGGGTTCTAGGTTTGGGGTGCAATGTGCATGACGGTGGCATCCAAGCTAGTTTGAACGATGCCCAGGCAGGCTGAGTGGGACAAGCTCTTTGCTGCCTACAAGGTGCCTTAGTGTCAGTGCTTTACACGGCTGCATACATCATTGTAGTTTGCAGTCTTTTTGAAGCTTTTTATGGTTTCCGGCAGGAAGCTTCCTTTCTTAAGGCTTTAGGAACTTCCAAGTCCCGAGAGTCTGTGCTTCTTGAGGGCACGTCAAGACGATGGTTCTGAACAAGCTTGCCTTGATCAAATTCAAGATCGAGCGAACGGCCGGATTGCAACACCCCCGCCTGCTCCTTTCCTCCACCTTCCGAAGGACAAAATGTCTAGTGCCCAAACTCACAGACAAAACGCAAAACCTGAGTTTCACGAGTTTCACGCGCCATGTCTAACCTTCATCACAATCGCTTGATCTGCACAAACGGCAAGCAGAACACTCACGATCGTAAAACCCACACGAGGCTCTGCAACGCTAAACCTGTCGAAATCTACCGATCCATATGCGGCACTTGAGAAAGGTCAGAGGTAAGACAACCCTAACATCTTGTAGAAACATAGACAGATCTCTGAGCCCTTCCAACGTAAACCCTGCTCGGCCATCCAAAAGAAGAGCTCCAAGATCTAAATCTAAACCCACAACCCTGCCTGAAAGCGCTCAAAAGGGCAAAGCCTTCATAACCCCCCATATTCAAGAACCCTGAACCCTAAACCCTAAACCAAAATTCAACAGCTGATGTCGTTAGGAGAAAGAGCCGGAGCTGGCTGCGCAGTTCGAGCGAGCGGTGCCAGATGCGAGAGTTTTGAGAAGGGGGCTTTTGTAAAAGGCCGGTGTGCAGGGGAGTCTCGTAGGGTTTCAGCAGTGTTTTTCGGGCAACTTTTCTTGCTCAGGGTCAGGCCTGCAGGGATTGAGGGGGCTAGTGGGTTTTTGGCATTTCGGTCTGGCGACGTGCAGACTTTAGGGCCCATAGTTCTAGGCTTTTCAGCTTCAGCGTCGGCTTGGGTTTGCAATGTTGCAGGAACGTCACGGTACAGCAGTAGCCCGAGAGGTGCATTACCTCGGCTATCCATCCAGAAACGGCTGCACTCGGGGTTCAAGAGCTGGTCATGCTGGAATTCGTGCTTACGGTTTCAGCCTTCAGGTTGTCCGGATGTGCTTTGAGCATGAAATCGGCTAAGGAGTGTGAGCATCTCCAAGCTTGCCAAACAAGGTCGAAGGTTGATGATGGCTTGACTTCTTTATGGCTCTACGCTAGCAAGACACAAACGCCGCCATCACCAGAGCACCAACTAAACAGCGGCAGCAAGAGCAGCACGCAGTGGCAACAAAGAATCCTTTTGAGGGACCTCGGTCTGTGCAAGGTGCTCAACAGGAAGCTGCCGGACAACTGGGACGAGTGCCTCCCCAAGCTGACTGAGGAGGACGCTGGCAAGGCCAGGACCACTCAACAGAGACGACGAGCATCTTCGGTGGCTTCGGATCTAGGCTCTGTAATGAGCTTCGGGAGACGAACCCGGAAAGCCTTAGCTTCAGCGCCACGGTTCAGCTTAGCCCTGTCAGAAAGTCATAATCAGCTGCTACTCACCTACGAAGAAGGCACCACCATAGCAAGGCTGACACTAGCACTCGTAACATCATCATAGATGTGGACACGCAAGTCATGTCATGTTTAGGATTTCTTTGCCGTCTTTAGCAGTTGTTTTTTTGATCGGCTACCAAAGCAGAAAGCTCTACTAACTCTCGTCCCCGAAGCTGGCGCTTGTCGGAAGAGTTGCCAGACCTGAAAGGGCCTAGCCAATCTGGCTGCAGCGCGGCACTGCCACATCTGAGAACAACACCCAAGGATCATGTCTTTCGAGGAAATAATGTGTGCAGCGAGGTGAGACTTGTTTTTCCGTTTTGTAATGCTTTGTTGCAAAACGGCAGCTGCTCGAGCAAGAATTCAAAAGTTGTCCTTGACAGATACACACACTGTCTTTGCAGCGTCGGCATTGCACCAATCCCTTTTGGTGCCCTCCAAACCCTTCCCCATCCTGCGGCTCCAATGAAGAAAGTGTTTGTCGCTGTGGTGAGACCCTTTCCATGTCCGGTGATGGGCCATCGGCAAGTGTGATGTTCAATCGAACATGCTTCACCTCCTCTCTCCTGGAAAGTCCTTCGATCCTTGAATTCAAGCGAATTGAACCCTCGCCAGGCCACCCGATTGCACTCCCAGGACTGGCGGGTCTTAAGTGGCGGTATTTCAGATTAGCAGGATAGGCAGGACTGCACCAGTTTCACGAGAACGGTGGGGATATGCGTACGTGGCTCCTGGCATTCCGCAGCGTGTCCATGAGATGATCAGGAGAGTGCATGCAGGATGTGACCTCAGGTCTGGCAGTTAGGATTGATCCTGGCCGTCTGACCGAAGCTAGCCTGAGGGTCATTGGTGGTGCTTCAAACTGATCAGGACTGCCTCAATGCCATCGCCCCAGTCCTGCCGGAATTCATGGGCGGCTCTGCCGACTTGGCACCATCCAACATGACACTGATGACGCTCGGTGGACTTGAGGTTTCCAAATTTGCGAAACCCTGAAACATGACTCCTGCGCGTTCGATTCTACTGAAAACCTCAGTCTCCGTCGCGCATCTCAGTAGAGTTGGGAGTGCGCCCTGTCGAAGATCTCACCATGGTGTAGGGCTGGCCTCTCTTTCATCACAAGGGCTCTTCGACATCTCGGAGTTGTCCAGAAAGAGCGAGAACTACAGCTTCTCTAAAGGAGCTGTAGCATTCAAGAGCTGAGGCCTCCACGTTCACAGGTTCACAGAACGGTCTCAGGGCTCAGGTCTGGTCTGAACATGTGGAGGTTTTTGGTGTTTTTCGGTTTGAGAATGTCTGGGATGAACACAAGGAAGTGCACTGGCGACTTCTTGAAGGACAGCTACTCCGAGAGGCTGGAAAGTCCGAAGAACTTGGGTGGGGATATGTGGGCATATAAGGGCGATTACTGCGGTACTGCAAGTCGTTTGGTTTTTTACACCGCTTGGTGCACCGCTTCGAAGAGTCGCGTCCGGCAGGGTTGGTCTAAACCTCCATCTCTGTCTCGGAATAGGCGAACTGGCACAGAGGTTGTTGCGGTCAGCCATAGCAGCATTGCGAGTTTCTTGGGCAGTCAGCTGCAGGTCAACCTGTATCCAACCGAACTCATCCCTAAACTCCAAGGGCACTGTGCCAGGATTACAAATCGTCACATCCGCATGTTCTGATTGCATGTGCTTGGCAACCCACTTCCCCGATTCACTCCTCAAAACAACCAAGGTGCATCAGGCTCGTAAAGTCCTCCGCTGGCCAAGCAATGTAAGCATTCCCTTCCTTGCACTGCGAGTGCTCAGCCAACGGGCTAGTACCTCGAAGCCTTCATCCTGCTGATGTAGAGAGCCCTGCACTGCCTTTGCACCTTTCTGATGTTCGCCTTTGCCATAATCTACAGGGCAGCTCGCAAGCCAAGCCCAAGCTGCGCCCGGCAGGAATTTCCGCTTCGGCATCCGAGAGTTCGGCATGGGAGCCGTGTGCAATGCCCTGTCTCTGGACAAGACAGGCCGAACACGGATGCGGGCTTGAGGGCCTTATATGAAGGGTCGCAAGATGATCTTCCAGATCTTGGCTGAGGCATTCACACCTATCGGATATATCGGCCTTTCCCATTGCACACCACAGGTGCCGCTAGAAGCTTCAGCAAAGCTGGTGCTGGGGCGCAAGAGTTTTAGCGAACCCCAAGCTGCAGGAGCATGTGGCTGCTTTTGATTAACCAAATTGCTGTGTGGCTTTCCGTAGGTACCTGTGTCAGCCCGATGAGACAGCGTGCGCATGTGTGGAAGTCTTTTCCTATTCAGCCAATGCCACAAGTTGAACAGCCGCCAGCCTGCAGGACGAGTCGACGAGTGCAGTTTCGACCATTTGGGGTGTACTCGAGTCCTACAGAGAAGTTGGTCCCCAGCCAGAGATAACAGTAGTTGTCTCATCTCACCCTACAGGTGTTGGTTTCCAACTGCCTCAGCTGCACAACCCTTCGGCCTCAGGCTATTGAAAGCCCACATCCTGCCAAAGCCAACTGCTCGTAAAGCTGAGCTTCGATTCCTGACAAGCATTGAGCGCGCTAGCGAGCACAGTCTTGTTCCCAGGCTGTCGGCCCCCCCCCCCCGCCCACCCCCGAGCTGAGAGGCGAAAGCCAGAGTCGATTGCAGGCATTATTCCCTACTGTGCCACCTTCACCATCTTCACGGACTACATGCGCTCCGCTATCCGTCCCCCTGCTGGCTTCATGACGCTGGCATCTAGGGGCTACTCTAGGCTGCTGTTTCGGAGACCTTTGCGCTGGGCTGGTGCAAATTCGGGTGCAGTGGAAATAATGGCTGTGGAACAACATAGATGTTGCGATTTGGCCGTTCATTCCGATTCGAGATACTTTCCCAAAGCAGGTCAGACATGATACCCCTAAGCAGCCTACAGTCCTTGACTCGCTAAACACTGCAAGTCTACACCGGGTACCTCAGTCACAGCCATCGCGTAGCTCTGCTGAGGTATCGCTGCACTGTCCCAGGCAGGCACCATCTTCGTGACCACCCACGACTCCATTGCCGTAGGCCCGGGCTATCGGGTGCTGTTTGAAGCTTGTGGTTTGGTCAAGTCTGCTTCTGGACGTGGGCAGACCGTTTCATGGCTTTGGGACTTCGGGGGGTGTTTAGCACTCGGATATTGGTGTCTTGACACTACAACCCCCCAAAGCACTTGCAAGGCATTGCCAGTATCAACTAGGAACGCTAGAAGATGCGAATGAAGCCGCATGATCCCTGAAATCGATACTGCTGCAATCGACATTTCTCGACAATTCGCGAACCCACCAAAGCCCTGCACCTTGAAGCCATGCGTGCTTGAAGGTGAGGATGGCCCTACCCATCAGCCCATTGAGACGATCCCTTCTTTGCACTTTGGCCGTGTGAAACAATGGGATAGATTGGATATTTGGGGGCTCCCAAGTTTTGGATTTAATTGTGAGTTTTTACTTCGCGGTGTCCAGGTATGGGTTGTCTTGTCCATCTGAGGAGGGTGCAGGGGTTTCGAGTACGTTTTGGGCGTTATGGTGCAAGGCTCTTTGATTCGTTGGTTTTCAAGATCTCGATAGTGGGACTTAAACCGGAGAACTGCTGCGAAGTTCATGCAAGGACTACTTAAGAGGAGTCGCTGGTTCGTTGCTTGGGGATTCGGGTTCCGTGGTCGCGGGTCAGAACTCGCATTAGCTGCGACAGGGCCCCTTGGCCCCGACCCACCCTTCACACATATCCAATGCTTTCAGCACTAAACCATAGTTGTCAGATCCCAAGCAGAACACCCGATCCTCAAACGGCTAGAAGCGCGGGGTCCAAGACTATCGTGTTAAGCTGCTCACTCCAGCAACTTGATCTCGAGTCCCTCGCGTCTCGCGCTGCGCCCAAAGCAGCTACGCCTGACACCCCCAAGTCTCACATCTTGGCATTCCTCAAAACAGTGCCTGAGTGGCCCTTCTGATTGTAACGTTTACTAGACTGTCCATTTATCGCGTTCTGTTCGGAAGCACACGCCGTGCTCACCGTGGCACAAGGGAAAAGCCAAGCTGACCACAGTGGCTTACGATACGGACCAGACAACATTTATTTATGAAACAGAAGCATCGAGGACTCTCGTGATTTAAGAATTTAAGCTGTCAAAGGTAGGACATCTTCTGGTTGTTGTCAGATTAAGCGAAAGCTGAAGTCTTGGCAGGGAACACTGCTTTGGAAACCGCCTTTCCAACTGAAGTTGGCGATGCGATCGGATCCGTCAATACGCGTTTGTGTAGGCCCCCAGATTTTAGTGTTCGGGTCCAGTGTTTCGCACTGCATCAAACCCAACGACGAGTGACCCCCGCCTTCCAGCCGGAACCCAAAGAAATGTCTCATAGTCGGAATGTCCATGCTAGGCGCTTGATCCCGGACCTGACCGCCGGGGCTTCAGACTTCCAAGGTGTGTTCTCGCTGATTGCGTAGCTTGCGGAGAACACGGTCCGAGTGCTGTTCCCTTGTAAGATTGCATTGCAAAACTGAACGATGTCATGACAAGGTCGTTTGCAGGAGAGCTTCTGGGAGACGTGCCCAACCATCTCTGCCTACACAGGGGGATCGTTTCTGTTGAACTACGTAGCGTTGTTTGTCTTGCAAGATAATGCATCACACTCCAATGCATTCGCATTACATGCGCTTTGCGCCCACACAACATGTACTTTGCAGTCACATATATCTCTCAGACTCTGCATTGAATTGCATGCACTACCTGTACACTTTACATGTCACTGTCTGCTCACCACTCCTGAACTGAACCTTTCTCCCGAATGCCGCAACACCCGAAGTGCTGTACTGGCAGAAGTCATGACCTGCAATTCCAACACCCGAACGAGCCTACTCAGGTCATGCGACCAGCTGACGGCAACGAGACTGCCGGTGCCTACAAGTCATTGCCTCGGCAGGGGCATGTCTCATGAATCGACAGTGCAGGCAGCAAAGAAGGTGACAGAAAGCATGCTTTGCATCACAGTGCAAACATGAGACAATGCAGAGTGCAGAGCAGTCAAAGGCAACTGTGCGATGACATTTGGGCACCTGACCGGGACTCAAAGGCCCACAACCTGCCAAGGTATGCGGTCGAGCGCTCCAAGAACGAGTCCCGACCAACCATGATGGCCTTCTCCCGCCAGGCAGCACAGAAAGCCATTGAGGTCTTGGGAAGATCCACGAGTCGTGGTGAGGTGTGAAGAGGTTCATGACGACCTGTCTCCACCCGCAACCCAGCCTGTAATCCTCACACAGACTGCCCATGCACGCGCAACGCGCAATTGAAGCTTCCGCTTGCAGCAGGCTCTGCCGAACCTCCCGAACTCGTCCATCGAGAACACCCTGAAAGGTCAGGGTCTTCTGAGCCTTGAAGTGGCTGGAACTTCCACATACATCTCGGTTCTGGGTAGATTGATCCAAGCACCTGCTCTCCACCGCCCGGAGCCCTCGTCAAGGTACGTACTGGACCCTCCCCGGCACACTGAACTCATTGTAGTTCAGGGCCGGTTTTGGGTATTTTGGTCCAAGATAGTCTTGAAGGCTTTAGGACTTAGGGTAACATGGAAATCTGCCCCGCGCAATCATAAAAACTTTCAGCCAGCGAAAGCCCAGAAGCCGATGGCCATCTGTTCCAAAAAGCACCAGCCCAGCAACCCTGGGTTGTGCACTCCCTGATGCAACCGGGTGTGCTATAATACCACGAAGCACAGGTTCCATCACATGGATTGCAGCATGGCAACAGAGTATACACAGGGAAGTGTGATCGATGGCAATACATGTCCGTACTTGAAGCTTACCAGAGATAGAATTTTTGTGAGAACTGCCCTCAGTAAGAGCCAGTGCACTATGCCGTACTGCTGCAGGATTGTACATCTATTTTCTGCTCACGAAGATCGATCATGCATATGCCACTTGAGCCACCTTAGAGTTGTCCACCGCAGAGCTCCAGAGACCTGGTACCCACAGGTGCCTACGAGGTGGTCGAGTGCTCCGACCCAGAGGTGGGAACCTCGCGACAAAGCAGTGCGATCGTGTGGCACAGACTTCCTGGCCTGTATAAATTCATGTCACGGCCTTCTAAAGACTCCGAAGAAACCTCTCCCCTTTTGGCACGCTTTCTTCAGGTGATCATCATCGGCACCGGCTCTGAGGCCTTCTGATCCCAAAGGGGCGGTGCAGGGTTCGAGTGAGCTTGAACTTCTGAGTGTACTGGGTCTTGGGTGTTTAGGCTTTGGGCTGAAACAGCCAAGTTCGTGGTAGTCGTTAGCAAGCCCTGCCTCGGCTCTGAGACGCATAGTGCTTCTTACATCCGAATCCTGGAACCCTGGGTTTCTAAGGCCCTAGACAAACCCGAAACGCCTGTTTCGCCAAAGAATGTTAAAGAACTTCAGGTGCACATTTGCGTCGATGCCGCAAAGGCCATGGACCAAAAGGCGACTAGGACAGCACTCTCTTCGAGGTTTGCGGATCTAGCGCGCTTTTGCTTCAGGAAGATAACGTGACATAAGCATCATCAGCAGCAACATCATCAACATCAGCATCGTCATGAGCGGAAACGGGGCTTGCAAGGTTTAGAATGCGGTTGGTTTGAGGTGCAACGCTCTGTGTTCAGCTTAGGCTTGGGGGTCAGCCTCACGAGGGACGCCGGTATCTCAAAAGAACCGAAGCCCCCAAGCCCCCTTGCGGAGGCAAGAGCCATCTCCGATTTACTCCAACCCCCACATCGCTTACAGGCATGTCTGGCGGCCACAGTTTAAACCTTGTTGGTTCACGGCCCGCACTGTTTGGAATGGTCGGTGTGACATGTCGTAAATTATCCTTGATCAACGTCCGTCCGAAAGACGAAGCTTGAAAGACCCTGAAACTTCTACCGTTTAATGCCAACAACATCCCAGGTCAGGGTCGTGTCCATGCCTTCTGTGGAAGTCTTCCGCGCGCAGCCAGACAGCTACAAGGAGAGCTTTTGGCCAAATGCTTGCCACGGAGCCCTCCTTGCTTCAAGACCTAACGACCCAGAATTGGCCTCGCACAGCCTCTCGTGGCAACAACCACGAGCTGTTGAACAAGTTTGCTGTTGTATGGTGCTGGGCCTCAAATGAAAAAATGCACGCAGACTGGAGTCGGTAGGTGTTGGGGAATGCAAACACTGCCAAAGGCGTTCTGAGCTTTTGTGTTGCAAAACACACGGGCTTGGCAACATTGTCGCCACCTTCTGTATTCTTGCCACGGCTTGATCCGCTATTTTTTAACTGGCATGGCTCAGACTTGTCTTCAGCCCTTTAAAGACTCCTGTCCTTTGCGACTGCTCCTTGAGAACGTGACACGGAGAGCCCCCTGGTAATCATGTTGAGAAGCTGCAGCCGATTTTTCTAGACTGGCTGCCAAGTTTCGTGAGTTTCGGGAGCTTGGGGCTCCCCAGCCCTTAAACCAATCGACAGCACACTTATGGCAAGCATGCCTCTCTGCAAAGAGGAGTCCCTGCTGCCCAAGGGCATCCCAACGCTGAGTGTGGAGGTGAGATGACAGAAGCTTGAGGGCCCTAAACCCAACATGCTTCCTCCATAGCCTTGTAATGTCGATTAAGAGGAGGAGTGGTAGTATATAGTTGTTCTAGTTGCACTTGTAGTTGTAGTTGTGCTGGTCGGTCGTTCTGGTGGTCGCAGTCGCGGCGTCGTGGTCGTGCTGGTGGTGGTGGTGGCAGTGGTAGCACTAGCAGCAGCAGTGGCAGTGGCAGTAGCAGTAGCAGTAGTAGTAGTAGTAGTAGTAGCAGTAGTAGTAGTAGCAGTAGTAGTAGTAGCAGTAGTAGTAGCAGTAGTAGCAGAAGTAGTAGCAG